AAAAAAAAAAAAAAAAATTATTAAAAGAATTTTGAGAGACTAGAGATATAGCTCAGCGGCAAAGCACCTGCCTGGCACGCGTGAGATCGTGAGTTTGATTCCTGGTACCAAAAAAAAAAATTTTGTGTGGTTCTTTTAACTTTTTGAGTGTGGCTCCCAGAAAAATTAAAATTACAATTGACTCTCATATTTCTATATAACTGACAGACTAAACACACATTATGTGCTGTTCTGGATCTTCAGTATTTCTTTGTTCAGCATGCTTTGTCTAAGCTCATGTCAGTCCTCTTGGAAAGAAGGGATAGCGTGTGTGTGTGTGTGTGTGTGTGTGTGTGTGTGTGTGTGTGTGATGTTGGGGGTGGAACCCAGGGCCCTGAACATGCCAGGAGAGCACACTACCACTGAGCTACATTCTCAGCCCAAAAGAAGCTTCTTAACCACACATCTGGGGTGCTGTGTAGATGCCTTAGCCCTAGAAACCTAGAGGCACCAATGTTGCCAATGCTGTCCTTTTCACAATAAAAGTCTCTGCCTTGTTGGTGTGGACAGAGTTTTTCATTTCCTATTTTGGTGTCGTAGATTCTTGCCAGCAGCTGTTGGGATCCTGGCTGGACTTGGAGAAGATGAAGTGAGGGAGGAGAGAAGTAATGAGGGGAACCTGCCAGCGGGAGTCAGATCTGAGCAGAACTTGGGCTGCTAGGCCTTCTTGTCATATGAGCTAGAATCAGTGCCTCCTCTCGCAAGACTGGGTGCAGTAGCCGCTTTCGCATAGCTGTCAGAGTGAATCTGTGCAGGCAGTGGGCGCCTTCTGAAAGTGTATAGGTGAAGATGCATGCCCACATAGTTAGCATCATGAAGTGACGGACCCACAGGATCAATGAGTGGTGGATAAACAGGCAGTCAGAGGCAGCAGCCCTTGTGTGAGAAGGCAGCAAGCTGAAAGTTTGATCAATTTAGGGGGTATGATTATCGGTCCCTCTTCTGGGAGCAGTCAGAAGTCTCAGCAGCCCAGACATAAATCCAGAGCTGCGGTGTGTTTCTGTGTCCGCATTTGTGTTATGCAGCCCTGTACAGGGCAGCTTGGGAAACCTGTGTGAGATTCACTGCTCAGCCCCTGGGGCCATAGTTGCCATCTACTGTTGGTCTTTATGGAGTTGGAGAAGGAGGTGGGGAAGATCCAAGGTACAGATGAAACTTGCTGTGTGGATTGCAGATAGGGAGTGAATGGGGTGTAAACATGCAGCCCTGGCTTTTAGCTCAGGGTGGCCTGTGAGCCAGGTGGAAGGAAGGGAACGTGGAAGTGGTTGTAGTGTGAAGACGGCTGCACGGCCCAGGGCTTAGTGTCTCGCCTTCGCGTGGCTCTGCTGTCTTCCGGGTGGGTTTCCCCTCAGACACAGCATGGGAGCAGTGTTGGTCCTGCTCCCTGTTTTCTGTCTAGCTGGGAGGGAGAGACGCCCGGGGGAAGTCTCATAGCTATTCAGGCTCTGTTGTGGCCACATGCGCATCCCTGAACCCACACTGGCCAGGGCCTGGGAAGCATGGATTGGCTGAGGTGTGGTCAGCAGAAGCCCTCCAGACTGCCCTGGTGGAGGGAGACAGTGCTGCTGTGACAGGCAGAAGGGAGTGTGGGTCCTGTGGGCAGTGAGCAGCCTTTGCCCCTCTGTACAGATGTCCTGTTGCTGCCTGGAGCTCCTGGCCTTGCTTCCTTCTGCGTCCAACCCACTGCCCCCATTCCCAGGGAGCCCTTCTTGCTAAAGCTTTGGAGAATAGTATTTTCCCTCCATCCCCTCCCGTGTCATTGCTCCTTAGAGCCCTTGGCACTGAACTCTGGCAGGTGGTGATCTTTGTTTCTCTCCTTCCTCATCTCAGGGCTAGGTAGGTTTTACTCATGATCTTGTATAGCATGTTGACTGTCTGTCTTGTTTTGAACAGTTCATTGACCTCAGGTGGATTTGCACATGTGACTTAGTAGTCGCTATTTTGTTTTTAAGGCTACTGGTTTCACTTATTATGGATGTAACAAGTTGGGCTGGGGACGCAGCTCACTGGTAGAGCACTTGC